GCACATTGTTGCAAAACGCGTTATCGAGTTTGCAACTTTGTTGTCAAGACTCGCTCCCGAAAATTGCACATTGTTGCAAAACGCGTTATCGAGCTTGCAACTTTGTTGTCTCGAAAATTGCACATTGTTGCACGACGCCCCGTTTTGCAACATTGTGCTTTTTTCGGGAGCGACTCACAGCAACAAAGTTGCAAACTCGATACTGCATGTTGCAACAGTGTACAATTATCGTGAGCGACTCCCGGCAACAAAGATACAAAAGAAGAATCGCGTTTGCAACTTTGTTGCCGAGAGTCGCTCCCGAAAAAGCACAATGTTGCAAAACGGGGCGTCGTGCAACAATGTGCAATTTTCGGGACAACAAAGTTGCAAGCTCGATAACGCGTTTTGCAACAATGTGCAATTTTCAGGAGAGGCTCGAAGCAACAAAGTTGCAATCCCATTAAAGCGCGTTTGCAACTTTGTTGCTAGGAGCAGCTCCCGAAAATTGCACAATGTTGCAAAACGGGGCGTCGTGCAACAATGTGCAATTTTCATGAGAGGCTCGAAGCAACAAAGTTGCAATCCCATTAAAGCGCGTTTGCAACTTTGTTGCCGAGAGTCGCTCCCGAAAAAGCACAATGTTGCAAAACGGCGCGTCGTGCAACAATGTGCAATTTTCGAGACAACAAAGTTGCAAGCTCGATAACGCGTTTTGCAACAATGTGGAATTTTCGGGAGCGACTCCCAGCAACAAAGTTGCAAACTCGATACTGCGTGTTGCAACAGTGTACAATTATCGAGAGCGACTCCCGGCAACAAAGATACAAAAGAAGAATCGCGTTTGCAACTTTGTTGCCGAGAGTCGCTCCCGAAAAAAGCACAATGTTGCAAAACGGCGCGTCGTGCAACAATGTGCAATTTTGGCGACAACAATGTTGCAAACCCGATAACACGTTTGCAACATTGTGCAAGTTTCGGGAGCGTCCATCAGCAACAAAGTTGCAAAAGGAGATAACGCTCATGCTACTTTGTTCTTTTTCGGGAGCGACTCCCGGCAACATAGTTTTTTAAACAATGGGTTTTTTGCAACAGGAAATGGATTTGGCGTGTAATGGATAAGTAAATACACTGTAAAATGCTGTAAAACAATACTTGTGCTTTGCAACTTTTTGTAATATACATTTTGAACGATAATTATAAATAAATAATTGCTTTTTTAATTAATCATTGCATTTCTTCACTTTTCCTAACCTTGGTGTCCATTCCTTGATTTCTGTGGTGTTCTGAAGTGTCCATCTATAATTCATACGAAAGGATCACTAATTTTTGTCATTTTTAATAATAATTATAAACAATTTACGACCAATATACTCGATACAATGGTTAATTCCATGTTAAATTGATATATTAAACTGCTTTATTAGATTAAAGCGTACAGTAATTTTATTTAACCCTTCCAATAGTTATAAACAACCATCTAAACTGTTATTTAACAAGAAACACTATTTATTCTATGACTAAAGTACTTGAAAGTAAGCAAGGAACTGTTCTTTACTGTGTACATTAGTAGTAATGTTACAACAATTAAGAATTGATTATAAGTATCAATTAAATAAAATAGAGATGACAAGGATAGCAACAACGAATAGAGATAAGGAAATGAATAGCAGTAAATAGATAAGGATAGCATTAGAAAAATCATGAGTAACTCATTATTTACGATGATTTTGCGAACTTTTAGAGTTGACGAATGAAGTGTGGACCTTCAGCTACTTTCTCATATAGATTTTAGTGCTCTAAACCCTTTCAATAATTAGTTGTTAACAATTTTAGTTTGCGATGTCGGAAACGATACCGCGTACCTTTACGGTTTTTCAATGATTTCACAGCCTTCTACTAAATTCTCATACAATCAAGTAGATGTGTCTGAATGCTAACTCCTTTAGCTACATTCTCATATAATTTTTATCAACACATCTCTAGTGGTTTAATAGCTATTTAACATTCTTTAGGTGAGTATTACACCCGTCGCATTCAAGCGTAACACATTTTCATTATTGCAATGGAAATGCCGGATAAATTATGCACTTTCAGGTATGTAAAATGTAAAATGGACCTTTACCTATATTCTGTAATTAGTTTGGTAGCTGTAAATGATGTGGTTTATTAGATATTAGAAATTATTTATAACACTTGACTATACA